ATATTTCAGATGCGGATTAACAAAACAATTAACAAAATAGGGATTTATTATGATAAAAGATAAATTAGTAAAGATAATTTAAGTGATAATTTAATTTTATTTTCCTTAAAATTTTACAATTTATAATACATTATTTTTAAATTATTTATTTAAATATTATCACACTTATTTATTTAAATTTTTAAATTTAAAGAGTGGATAATTAGATTATAAGGGTAATCTAATAATTTTAAACTTTTCAACATGATTACACATAATTAAATTAAGTATTTTAAAATATTGAACAAAATATTCTTAATGATGATGTTAAAAATTAGATCAACTCATTAAAGCGTAGATCTTAAAAAGAGAAGTGTGTTTCTCAAGATTCGAGCTTATATTCTTCTCTTTACAAAGGTAAGACTACTTACTATCTTAACCAATAATTTGTAAGTGGAATATTACTTCTAGTCTTAATTATAAGACCTCATTTGTAGTCTATAAATGAGGTCTTTTTAATTTCTTAAAATTTGACTTCATTTTAATTTTGTTCCTCAAATTTGAAACCACCTTAATTTCAAGAATCAAAATTTTTAGAAGTATCAAAATGAAGTTGAATTTTATGAATTAAGATTAAAGATTAAAATTAATAATTTTAAATTTTAAGGATTAAAACTAGAGGTCACATTTTTTTAACTAAGATATTATTTAGAAAGATAGACAAACAAACTGACTTAGCTGCCCAGTCTATTCTGTGGTTACACTGCTGCGACTCTTTTCCATTTCCAGTCCACTTCCAAATATGACAATTGATTTCTGCAAAACCATTTAAGGCTTGTTTGGAATAACTTATAAATAGTTTTTTAAACGTGATTTATAAAATACGAAATAAGTGTGTGAAAAGAGTTTTGTCTCGACTTACATAAAAGTGCTTATAAGTACTTTTGCAATGTTGATCCAAACAAACCCTTAAAAGGTAATGCAAGGGAGAAAGGAAAGACGAGTAACATGATAATTGATATTATTTTGGGAAAAAAATCATTTTTAAGAACAAAAAAATATAAAAGAAGTCATTTGGCAATTTATTTAGTTGTTTGTAAACAAACCCTTAAGAAGTCTGTTTTTAAAAATTTAAAAACCAAAATAATTTTAGTTGTTTTTTTTTTCTTGCATTTTTTATTGTTTAGCATGGGAAAATTGAGAAACCCTTTTTTCTTTACTTGATGGCTTTTTTTTCATTTGAGGATTTGAGTTCTTGTTGAAGTTTCACTCTCCAAATAGATTTTGTCAAGACGTTAACTAATTATTTTTCAATGAAAAAATTATCTTTTAAATAAATGACTGTTAAGAAATTATTTTTGTATTAAATTCGGTACACATTAAAATAATTTTTCAAAAAAATAAAAGAAAAAAATTAAATCTGAACTATGCAAATTAAATTTGAATGATTCAGATTTTAGTGCTCATAAAGAAATGATGAGCACTGAATCTCAAGTTTTTCAACAATCCCCGGCTTTACTATTCCTACTTATCCTTCTGCCTCCGAGCTAGTTGGAGTTTCTGTGGCTTTCCTTGATGTGCTTTTTCTAGTGCTGATTGGTTTCATTTCCAAACATTATTTTTATATTTTATGAGACAACATTTCTTTATGTATTTATATATGGCACAAAATCTCTTCTTCTCTGTTTAAAAAAATAAGCCATCACCTGATAATAGGGGTGTGCATGAAGCCCAAATGCCCGCTTAACCCGCCCAAGCCCGAAAAAAATTTGTCCTGCCCAGCCCGAAAAAAAGGAGCCCGAAAAAAAATGGGCATCTTTGGGCTGGGCATTTCATGGGCAGGGCTGGGAGTCGGGCAAGACATGCTGCCTTGCCCATTTGGCCCTGCCCAGATTATATTTATATATATTATAATTTATAAAATAATATTAATATATTAAATTTCTTTACCCCAAAAAAAAACAGTTATTCCCTCCTCATTGCAATTTAATTTATTATTGTTACATGTCTGTTAGTTTTCCATTTTAGGGATCTAATTTTTCTAAAGAAACAATAGTATCTTGCTTTTAACTTGTTCTTCATGAGCTTTATTGAGTACACCTATTGTGTGTTGCTGTTGTAATGTTGGCTATTTATAAGTCCGTCTTCCCTTATATGCCATTAAAAACTTTCTTTGTTAGAGAATGGAATTCATACATTACATATTTGTATAAATCAACAATTTTGAATATTTATACAAGATAGAAAACAAGATTGGGGTAGGAGCAGAGAAAGAAAATTAGGGTTTAATTATCTGAATTACATGTTTTATTTTTTATTTAATTTATATTTAGTTATTTTGTATTATTTTCTTATGAACAAATCATATGATGCAAAGAAGTCTTTTAGTTGTATGGACTACTAATTGCATTATATCACATAATAAGTATTTCTATATTAAAAATGGTTATATTAAATTATTATAAGATTTTAAGATTTTTTATTTATCTTTTTACAATTATTTCACCATATTTTTATATGGTCTATATTATTCCTTTTAACCCATTGCTTCAATTTTAATATCGTTTTACAATCTTTTAGGTAACATTTAATTTTTACCATTTGAATGGATAATCAAGTTTCTATTACATCGTCATCTCCAACCCTCAATAGAATATCTCAATGTGCTTCAACCCGTCTTCAATTTTTTCAAATGTTTTATTCTTTTCTCAACTTTATGAATATTGATGCAAACCGTTTGAATTTTAAGGCTTTAATTACAATCTTGAGAGTTGTTTTGTTCTAAATGGATTATGAATATTATTTATTCAGACATTTGCTAAGATTGTTTTAAATTATTTCTAGATAATTTCAACGTGTGAAAATGTAAAATTATGAAATATAATTTTCAGTTATGGATGAAAGTTTTTTTACATGTGATATCGGCAGGTCATCACTATTTGGGCAACGAAACCCGCCCATGCCTAGCCTAAAATGGTTAGGGCTTCTATGGGCAGGGCCGGGCAGTGGGCTGCAAAATGCAGCCCGCTCATATTTCGGGCTGAGCATCGGGCAGAGGTCCTGCCCTGCCCTGCCCTGCCCAGCCCTACCCATGTGCACCCCTACCTGATAATGCTAATAGAGTCGTGTTGGTCGTAGTACAAGTATGTTTTTTTTTCCCCTAAGTGAATAAAAAAAATTAAGTAGCATTAAAAAATTAGGACTATTATTAAAAAAAAACCAAAATAAGAGAGAGAAAGGGGAAGAGAGAGAGAGAGCATTGAGGTCAAATTATGCGGCTATATCTACTCTCCAGAAAACGTTTTCCATTTGTTTTTTTAATAATAGCGCTAATTTTTTAATACGTGTGTGTGTGTGTGTGTGTCTATATATAAACTATACCAAAACGCATAATTCATGTGTTGTTAACCTCATTTCTTAAATTTCATAGTACGCATCAAATAAAGACGACACTAATTGTTTTTTTTTTAAATAAACCCTGACTCTTATCATTATGAACTTAAGATTAATTCCTATCAAGTCAAGAGCGTTTAAAACTATAGTCCTCACAATAAGTATGTTTCTAGGGATTTAAACTTGTATTCTTTTTTATAAAAGGATGAGCCTGCTTACCATCTCAATCAAGTATGTTAATTAAATATAATATTACATACCAATAAAAATTGGTCCAGTTAGTAAAGAATTGGCTCAAAATCTATAAGGTCTTGAATTTGAATCTCACTGCTGATGTAAGAATTTTGTTGGTAGGTAATCACACTTTCTAAGCTTGAAAGCATACTCTGATCCCATTAAGCCCCTGGGACACAACTTATCCAAACTTTATTTAACAAGACATAATGTCTACATATAATGTACCGTGGAGGCACACCCACCTTATCCAAACTTCATTCTCTAACAAGATGCATTGTTTAATGCCCGCAGCCATTGTTGAATTATATTCAAATTTTTTGTTTCATTTGTTTACATGCTTTTATTTTTTAATATCTTTTTGTGGGGTTTTCAACAAATTTTACAAGCTAACTTCAAAAATCAACCATACACTCAAAGCGGGCCCACTCTCTCAACCACAAAAACTCGGCGCTTAGTGCATTGGACTAGTCCGTTCAGTCTTGCAGACCAAAATATTGGAGTTTACAATCAGCAATCTTTTAAGGCAAAAAGAATGAAAGAAAAATTATTTAAATTGTTGGAATTATTTTTAATTTGTCAACTTAATATTTTTTTAATTGTTTTCTATACTTAAAAAACTTTATAAGCGTTACAGATATTTTCAAAAATGGTAAAATCTTAGGTTATATGCTTGTTAGATGCATAATTTAGGCGTTTTTCCCCCTCTTGCGGAGGATAATTTAGGTGTTACGTTCAACAATCTAGAGAGCCATCGTCAACATTTACAACCACCCGAGTCTAAGATATCTTCAAAAGGTCATTAATTATAATAAACAAATTCGAACTTTGAATTTTCAATTTTGGTCCAAAAGAAAAACTTTGAATTTTCAAGATATAATTTTTATTATATTAATTGGAAAACTACTTGGACCTAACAAGAAAAGTTGGGCAAGTCAGATATATTCATTAAAGCATATACGTCTATATATACCTTTAAATATACGGAATACTGCCCGTTATAAGTCATTAATGCAATGTCTGGCAAGCGGAAAAAGTGTATTCTAAAATAAAATGAGAAATACACCAGGAAAGGAATTATGTTTCTTTTCTAGAAAACACTTTACTGCAGACCAACTCAGACTTCATAATAATAAAAGTTTGTTCAAACTTCACAAGTTTCTTCAATATATTAAATCAGAAAAGATCATATATTTAGCACCAAAAAAAACAGAGAAAAGAACAGAAAAAAGAAAAAGAAAAAGAAAAAGAAAAGATCCCGTAGGAAATGGAGGCCGAGAAGGGCGAGAGAGGGCCTTGGGAATTTGGCGTAAGGGTTATCAAACTTTCATTCACGTCACAAGGCATGCAATGTCTTGGTAAAAGATAAAATTCAAAATATGTTTCCAGTCAAATTCTTCAACTAATACAAATATATTTTATTGATATATTTCATCATCACAATATTAACTCATTAAAAAGTTCTTCGTTTACTTTTCAGTGAACTTTAATAGCAATCATATAGAACATATTACCTATGTTTTTGTGCCATTAGAAAATATCTATACATAATTTTTGTTTTTGGCATAGAATGGATTAAAGTCTAATATATACATACATACCGTGTGATGGAAGAATTACTGGCTTTTCAAATAGTTTTGGTTATCTCCAGCAGCAACTCTGCTGGTAAGGGAAGGTCTCATCGTGACAATGGCAGACTCATTTGCGCCAGCTCTGAGAGCAGCCTTTCCAGCTTCCAGGAACCTCTTCACTGCATCTTCTGCATATCTGTTAGCTTCTTCCACTGTCATGGTTTTCCCAATATCTGGATAGGTTTTGAGCACATAATCACCGACAAGCTGCGATGCGAGCTGGATCAGTTCAACCTGGAATTCTGAGAGCTCCTTGTCTCCCCTAGGTCCCCATGGCCTCAGTGCTGTGTTCACCTCGGGTAGCCTTTCTGAAAAGTCATTAGAGAAATGTTGAAATATAATTGCTAAAATAGTAGAAAATGAAAAGCAGCAAGCTTCTATGCTAGAAAACTTCTTCGCTGAACCGTGATCGCAAAAGACAACTACATCAAGTAAATGATGCGTGTATGTGAGCATGTTAGACACACTACTGGGTGAATCATACCACTTAACATCATGTTTGATTTCGCTTACCTAATACCCACCTTATATGATTCTATCTAGTTCATATTTTGTTTCTTTACCATTCACATCATATTATCTTCTAGAGCCAGTTTTGAAACTGATCCTCTGAACTCACTTTACGTGAAGTTCAGGAGAGAAAGAGAGTTTGGAATGGTGACTTCTCCCTCCCTCTAAACTTCAGATGAAACACAGAAGTGGAAACTTAAAATTTCTTATTAAAGTAAGCAAAAGAGAAACCACAAGTTTCTGCAACAGGGCGTTTAATGCCCAGCCAAGTGCTTAAGTTTCTGCCGTCATAGATCAAGATGAATGAAAAACTAAAATATGGAGATGCTTCAAGATATACAGCATATAAAAACAGCATGTACAAGAACCATGAGCTCTGTCTAAGTTTCAGAACAAAATTCTAAGTTTCTAAACGAGAATTTGAAGTTCATTATGAACATCGAAACATATAATGACACAGAGTCTGGACAGCAGACAAGGGTTCGTAGATTAAAGGACCAGAGTCATGAATCCTCCCCAGACTATCGCAATCAAGTTAAAAGATGCCATACAAACCTGGACAATCATCACGGGGAGAATCTCGAATGTAAAAATATTTCTCAAAGGTACCAGCCCATGCATCCCTTTTCGTCAAGAAATTAGACTTCAGATTGAAAAGTTTCTTTACTGTGGCAGGAATAGAAGAGTGTTCAAATTGTGAACTTGGAGTCGGCCCATCCGGTTCATGAATCACTGCAACAAAAAATGGAGTCAGCCTGAGCTTAGAAAGCCTCCAAAACAAGACCAAATTGGATAAATTGCAGAATAAATTAAATCTCTTAAATTTGGTTGATACGGGGACAAGTAACCTATGACAAATCAGTTGGTGTTATTCATGATCAGGCATTCAGTGAGGTCACTACCTAAATATTTAATTCACTTCTGGTGGTGATGAGAGTTTCTTACCCAGATCAGAAATGACAGCATAGGTACACTAAGCTGAAATTACAATGGGCTAATTTCTCTCATATACCAAGTGAGGTATACAGAAACTAGAAGTTCATTTTCTTTTTATTCTTCCAAACTAAAGAACCAAACTTGCAATGCTTGGCACCGTAAGTTATCACATTGATAAGGGTGTCTTCTGAGGGAATGAAGAAAATCAGCAAGATTCTAAGGATTAAGTAGTGAACTTCAGAGATTTACAGTGATTACAAGTTTTATATCAGTCTCAAGTTATAGGCCATTGGTTAAAATGCTAGAAATTCGAAATAGTCTTCAGCATACAGACTTAAGCGAGGAGCACAGAGTACAGACAATGATAACCACTTAACCAATGCAAAAGGAAGCAACATAAGAATTTCCATGCAAGACAAAAGCAGATTTAGCAGTGGATTTACTCATGGACCAAACGTCTATAACTTCCAAGAAAATAAAGAAAGCATACAAAACTTCAGAGTAGGCCAAAAGTGACCATAGAAAGACAAAAATGTCAGATCGCAGAGTTATAGAACATGAATGTCCCAAAATTAGCATCATTATGTGCAAGCAATCGGACAAACTTTGCCTTAGTACAATTTTGGGCATTTTCAAATAAGCTTGAAAGTATAGCTGAATCTGTGAAAGGTTCGAAGTCATTAAAAAACGATCAACAAGAAACCAAAAGCACTAAATTAACATTACTACCAGCCCCAAGAATTCAACAAAACTGGATCTAAAAGATCAAATTTGGAGTTAAGTAACTCTTAGGACAAACATTCATTAGCAGATATTAAGAAACCAGAGAATATATATTTATTAACATTGAACAGTTATAGAAGTGAAAGGCAATTCCAGAAACAAGACGAAATGAAGCACTAACACTTACCAGTACCCTTGTCGATCCATGGTGAGATCAGAAAAGTCGGGACTCGAACCCCAAGCCGGTCAAACCGAAAGTAATAAGGGTCAACATGGCCAATAATACCATCTGGGTTCGGTACACCAGAAACAGGGGTAGGAACATGGTCATAGAACCCTCCATGTTCGTCATATGTAATCAACAGGGCCATCTCTTTCCACTGAGGACTAGCTCTCAGTGTCTCATAAATCTCCTTCACGAATTTCTGCCCAGTAGCCACATCATGCGACGGATGGTCGTCATTGGCCGGAAAAAGGCTCACATCGAAGTAACGCTGTTCAATAACCACGTAATTCGGAAGCTTGCCCAATCTGGCATGCAATTTGAACTTTAAAGCGTAGTTATGGAACTTGAGGATGTGCTTGAGCTTCCTCAAGCTCTTGAAGAACAAGGTAGCGGGGATGTTCTGGTAATAAATCCCAAATGAGAGGCCACTTTCTTCGAGAGAGTCGAAGATGGTTTTCTGAGGAAACCCATGTATCAGGTCTTTCCGAACGTTGCTCATGGCGCCATGGGAGGTCGCCGAGTGCACGTAGAACCGGTTCGGCTGAGTCGAAGTTGGACACGAAGCGAACCACCTATCGAACACGGCGAACTCGTTGGCTAACTCGGTATAAACCGGTAAGAGTTCCGGTTTGAACCCGCTCATGACGGTTTTCGACATTCCTTTTTCCATACTCTCTGCTTGCTGAGCAAAACCATTCATCGGAGCCGGATTAGCAGAGCTATCATCCGATCCGAATATTTGTTCCCTTATCGCCTGAAACGAGTGCCCCGGGTCAGAATCAACGAACACAGAATCATCAGAGACGTGAACCTTCGGCGAGTTCCGGTCAGAGACGGAGACACGGTTCGATTCGGTGCCAGTCAAACCGTCGATGTCGGGTCGGGTCCTCTTGAGCCACCCCAATATGTGGTCGAACGATCGGTTTTCCATTACGACGACGACCACGGTTTTGATGGGTCCATCGATTTTGGGATTCCTTTTGTGGAAGCCATTGACATCAATGCCATGAGATGAGGCCAACAGGTAGAGGAAGAAGAAAAGCGTCGAAGGAACCCGCCGGAGACTCATCTCCGGCCGACCGGGGATTCAGAGAAAAAGTGAAGCTGCACTAAAAGGTTCGTTTCCCTTTCGCCGAGCAATAAGTTTGAACAAACTACGAAGAAAGGCTAATGCAAGTATGACAAGGGACCACCACCGGCCAACAGTGAATTACTCATCCTTTTATTCTGAAAATTCAAAATTCACTCTTTTTTTTAAAAAAAAAATTATAAGGGTCAAATTTTTATGAAAAAATCCCAAAAAAAACTCTTGAAACATAGGGAATTGCAAATTGGGTCATGAAATTGTATAAAGGACAAAAAGGGTCAATGATTCAATCTGTCATTTGTAAAATCAAGAAGAATTGATAATTTTGTCCTCATTTGTATTCATCCACTATAATGATTTAAGGAATTACTATAAGAGTTTAGGCGTTACCTAGATTCATATAGAGAATAACTACTCACTTTTTCATAGTCAGATGCCTTGTTATTAACTACAACTAATCATGTAATTAATATAATAGTATAAACGTTACCTAAATTCGTGTAGAGAATAACTACTCACTTTTTCATAATCATCCACCTTGTTATTAAATATAAATAATCATGTAATCACTAGAACATTGTAAGTGTTACTTAGATTTGTTTAGAGAATAACTACTCACTTTTGCTTAGTCAAGGCAAAGTTGTCAATTCTTTTTTATTTTACAAATGACAAATTGAGTCATTGACGCTTTCTGTTATTTTTACAATTCCAAGACCTAATTAGAAATTTTTTATATTCTAAGAGCTTTTTCTAAGATTTTTCAATTTTTATTATGATCTTAAAATTTAATGGTCAATATTAATTATTATTATTATTATTATTATTATTATTATTATTATTAATCTCACAAATATTTTTTTGGAGAAAATGACAAAAAATAACTGTTGAAATTTAAAATGACAAAATAGGTATGCAAATATAAGACATAACCAAATGGGTATGAGGTATCAATCTTGAATTTTGACAGTTCGGTAGAAAGATTAAAATGCCTCTGAACTTCTCTGAAGACATGAAGAGGTGATAACTCTCAATATGAAAGTTATAATTCACATTACAAATATTGTCATTATCATTACCAAAGTGGTGAAATTGGCTCCAAATACATGTTATTTGGGTTTGAAAGAGACAGGTTGTAAATGACAATAGCGAGATGGTAACTCTCATTAAAAAAGTTATAAACTTATAATTTATATTATAAATGTTGTCATTATTATTACTAGGGTAGTGAAATTAGTTCCAAATACTCTATTTGGGTTTGAAAGAAACGAGTTGCAAATGACAATAGCGAGATAGTAACTGTCATTACAAAAATAGTAATTCATATTATAAATGTTGTCATCATCATTAATGGAGTACTAAAATTGGCTCCAAGTACGTGTCAAAAGCATTTTAATCTTTTTACCGAACTGTTAAAATTCCAAATTGATATCTTATACTAATTTAGTCATTTCATATATTCACATGTCTATTTTATCATTTTAAATTTCGATAGTCCTCTTGTCATTTTTCCTATTTTTTTCTTTGGAAAAGTCAAGATCATGACAAATATTTTTATTGAAGAAAGTCTCGCAAAATTAAACTTGTCAGTTGTCACCGCTCACCGTTATCGAAACTTGAAGAAAACTTGTAATTTAATAATTTGCATAATTGAACATTGTGACGAACGTTTAGTTTTTTTTTTTGGGAAAAGTACATTTTTGCTATGACAAAATTCTTTTGTTGGTTTTCTTTAGTTTATAATTGCAATAAAAAATGAAATAAAAATTTTATGGTACGTTATTAAATTATAAAATAAATATTAAAAGAAAAATCAGTCTACTAACAAATAAAGATAGCAATTTTATGTTTATTAAAAAAATTAGCATATTTTTTATTTCATATATAAAATGAAAACATATCGTTTGTTGAATATCACACTTTTAAAATATTATAAAATATTGTTCTAGTCATATTTATAAAGCAAAGAGAAAATATTTTTCTTAGTCCTATTTATAAATTATCTTATTAAATTTTTAACAAATTTTGTGTTTCATTTATTATCGTCTAAATAATTATATATTAAAAATTGCATATATTAAATAAGAATAAAATTAAAAATTGTTATATTTTAAAGAGTTAATACCATTTAAATTTTTTTTAATTTTTGTAAAACATGTTGGAAATGTCGTACTTATAAATAAGATCATATGAGTAACAATAAGTATATAATATAGTTGGCAAAAAAAAAGTACATAATATAAATACTAATAAGTGACACACATGTGCGATGATAAAAAATAAATAAATAATAAGTTACACACATGTGAATGGTATTACTCATTTCGTATATTTCTTACAATAGTAGATTTTTTTAAAAAACAAAATTCCAAAGTGCAACTAGTTTTAGTGGCAACCATAGTGGCTACGTAAATAGAATTAAATTCATAAGAAATTATATTCTTATAATAATAATTTGGGAAAAGTAATGAATGGGTTAGGTTGGTGGGGTAGGTAATAATTTGTAGAAGCAATATAATAACATCGTTCTCTTGAAAAGGAGTTTGTGGACGGCATCCCATAGTCCCGTACACATTAAAATTTTAAACGTTTAATATAAATAATATATTATTATCAATCTCTCCCCATCACTCTCGTTTTGGCCAAAACTGACCTTTCCTTTAGTTTTTCCCCATTATTCAAATTCCATTAGTCTATTTGTTTTCTTGTGGACCCCTTTTTTTTTTTTTTAAAAAAAAACCTTTTTAGAAATTTTATCAAGAGAAAATTACAATCAGATCTTACAAAAAAGATTTAATTACTTTAAAATTTATTGACAATTGAAGAGCATATAACGAGAAGTTTCAATATAGAAAATGACTTATTTATTTGTTATTAAAACATTTTAGTAATTAAATTATTTTCTTAAACCTCATAATAATTCTTTTTTTATCAGTATTATCTTTATTAGTAGTATAAATTTACTGACGGCAACTCAATTTAATTTTAATATTTTATGAATTACAATGTATGATGTTGAATTCGTTTTTAAAGACAATATATTACAATTTATTTGAATTTTATCATAAATTTAATATTTTTTAAATATTTTTATTAATATATATTAATAATTTAAAAATGTGTTATATGTTCATGTTTAGTTTAATTTTAAATTACGTGCTCGTACTTCGAATTTTTTAAATCAAATTTTTACAGAGTTAATTGTTGAACGCATGGGTCCTTAATTAATAACACTTTTTAGATGATGTGGCTTGTAGGCGGCTGAATGACTTGTAAAAAATATATCATTAAATCCTTATATATATATATATATATATATATAGAGAGAGAGAGAGAGAGAGAGAGACCACGAAACAGCATAAAAACAATAAATTAATTTTCATTTTCGTAATCCAACAAGAGCTAAATAAGTGAAAAAAACTCTTGCATCAAATTAATGTTTGGAAGAAGATATCCTAAAAGTATATAATTTTCCCAAGTATATATTGTATTTAAGATTTTAATTTTTTTTTAAAAAACCTAAATTACTCAAAACTTCTCTAAACTTTGGCCCATACACAAATAACTCTCTTATCTTTAAAATCCAGTGATAAACTTTTCTAAAGTTTTAAGCCTCTGCAAATAACTTTCAATTATCAATTATACACACACCCCCCTTAAAAACTTTATCTTTGTATGCAGATAACTCCCTCACGATGACATATAAATAACATCTTAACCTTTAAATTTATTTGTGGATTTATAATCATATTAGAGTTATATATTACTTCCGGTTCTTAATATAAGATCCGTTTTGTAGTGTAAATAAAAAAACTCTATTTAGGTTGAATTTTTTTTGGTAAAAAAAAAAAGTCGGGTGAATTGGGTTCTGAAAACTTATTTGGATTAGGATACACTGAGATGCCTTATTCAAGTTGAAGTTGACCTGGTCTTCTTCATCAAAATATCAAAATCAAATGGAGCAAAATAGTCATCAATTTACAAATCCAATTTCAAAGAAAGAAATGGGGGAAGCATCTTTGAATCATTTTATAGGACCAAGTGGCATATTCCTTCTTCTGCCTTTTCGTGATGGCTGCATATCACACACATAACATATAAGCCACTCAATTCAACTTGCTTTTCCAAACAGATAAGCTGTGAAAGCCATCCTTTTTCAATCCCAATCAATTTCAATATTTTGATTTTTCATTGTATTTTTTTATAATTTTTAAGTCACATCCTAAAAGAATTTTATGATTGAAATTGTAAGTCATGTTGTAAAATTTTATAAGATATTAATTACTTTATTTTAAAAAGTCCCTCTTATCAATTTTTACCGAGAATATAAAAAGGTATGTATATATTTTTTAATTTATGATACAGTAATTATTGGGGGGAAAATATGAAAATCAAATAAATCTTGACCAACATTTTTTAATTGCATGTGAGGTAGTTGAAAAGAGTATTTATTAAAACTGAAAGGAGAAATTATAAAAGCCGATTAGTCCAGGAACGAAAGAACATAATTTTCCTGTAAATATGAAAGGCTTATTTTAGTTAACATTAAAAATAGCTTACTATTTAATCTCTACTTACATTAACCTCTAAGCAATGTTATGTTCATTTCTTCTATATTTATGCATATATTTCGATACAGCTTAAATTTTTTTTTTTAAAAAAGGTAAGTACAAGTGAACAAGTTTTGAGAAAATTTAATATTATGAGTTTTTGGAGAAAAACAATCCGTAAGTTCTTATTATTTTACTCATTTTTGAATCAAGTCTTTATAATTTATTTTATTTAGATTGGGTTTTTCTAATTTAATCCGTTAAATAAATCAATCAATGAAGATTAAAACTGTTATAATAGCATTAAGTGTGGATGCTACCCACAACTATGGTTTTGGAGAGAAGATCATGGTTTTATGTAATTTCATCCAAACACCAAAAAAAAAAAAAAATCAAAAAATGGTTATGCAACTAGAAACCACGATCTGGAGGAGTCAAACCATGATTTAAGGAAAAGCTAGATTGATACAATTCTGAGAAAAATCTATTCTCCAGAATCACACTTTGTGGGTACAAATTGATTAATTGAATTGGACAATGACTAAGCAGATGTGTAGGCAGATAAGCAAGTGATGTAAGCTGTGACCAGAGCGCTCTGTTTGTCTGGAGTATTTTTCAAGGCTAAGCGTAAATATCTTTCTGTTAGAGACAATTCTGTTTAAGACATCATTGAGTATTAAATATAAGACACCTTTCCTAACGAAAATTCAAATTATAATCCACCGTATTGTGAGGATATTTGTCTAGAGCTTTGAGTTAAAGGAAGAATTGGAAGTCCAAGTTGAAAAAGCAAATATATGGAGGAAATATACGGAAGAGTTTATTTCGATTTACGAAAAAAATACTTTTAAAAAGCTCTTCTCATGATATCCAAACACCCTCTAAAGCATTTGGAGAAAGCAACTCGTGCTCTATTATTTTTATTTTTTAAAAAAACATTTTCCCCTATTTTTTAGCACTAAAAATGTCAAAATAATTGTTTTTCCGATCAAGGACTTTAGCCCTTATTAAAAAAAATCTTAAAACTTACATTCCTTAATTATAACTAATATTCTTAAAAAGGGTATCCAAATGCCATTCCCCCAATTCTAAACTTGTAAGATATAAATATACATATATGGAGGGAGAATGATCTTTCTAAAAACTACATCGCTAATGTACTCCTTGATATTCTGTTTCATTTGCTTCTTCACTAGATTTTCTTTTCCACAAAATTATCAGTTTTTCATGAAATTTAGATTATCACAACCAAATACCACAATCACACTGTTGATCTTCGTCATATCAATCACTTTCACTTGTTTTAAATTCATCGGAAACAAAACTCTCCAACCCTCTCTATGATAACAAGTCTTCAAGTCAATTAAAAATGAGGCCAGAACAAAAACCAAAAGAAAAAAAACAAAAAACAAAGAACAAAAAGCAATCCTCTGAGTGGCATTTCCCACCACAAACATAATCACAGCGTATTCAATCAAAAGATGAATATGACCGTAGTAAGCTGGAAGGTCAAGAATGCCCTTCAGGCTTATTTTTTTAAGCTCTGGACTACTGAAATTCTCGAGCTTGAACATCTTTTAGGCCTTTTTTTCACAAGCACACATTCTCTAAAATAGATCAAGCGACATCTTCAGCTTGTTCTGTTTCCACTTGGGAAGCTTATAGAAGGCAGCTTTTGTCATCCCAAATTTCTCACGAAACTCTTCATCAGACAGATATGCCTATACCATTGAAAATAAGCAAATGCCTGTTAATATACTGTTTGATCCAAATGGTCAGAAGTCGAGTCATTCTTTGGGGAATATACCATCAGGTTAAAAAGGGGGGAGGTAAAAAAAAAGACAGTAACTGAAACCTCTTTATTGGGCCAGAAAGATTACAAAATCTTTATGTTCAGGGACTGAAAAGTGGAAATCCCCATTTACAAGTGGGTTTTCAGTAGCAGATTCGGCTAATCAGTAAAAAAAGAAACCAATTGTCATAATTAATAATTATTTAGTTGTTTTATTTATCAGAAATTTTGATACATTGGTCTTTGTTAATGACTCTTAACAGGAAGAAAAGTATGTTCCAGGGGTTAGTTAAGGATGTTGGATGTGAAGTCTTGGAAAAATGACTGACTAGGCCGAAACAGTTCAGGAAGTACCTCTCTTACAGTCACATTGATACCAACGACTGGGTTACTAGAAATCACTCTCAGCCGATCATATGGGTATACTGGTAAGTTTTCAATATCCTTGTTTCCGTTCTTCTGAAGAGATTCCGCAGTCCCAGATGATAAATTTGGTTCCGCTGGTGGAGAAGCTGAAAATGAAACTGATTCTTCAAGATGAGCAAGGAAAAAAAAAGGTTAAACTAAACAGAAACTCTGGTTAGATTAAATTGTGAGACTTGTCCTGCTTATATTAAAATTGTTGGGGAAAATACAGAAAATAATGCTCAATGCATGATGAAATCACGGTCTCGCCTATACAAGACATGTTCCTAGGATTCAGCGAGCCATTTTATCTTCTGCTAGGCCAATGAAATTAATAGATAAGAACCTGAAGATGGCCAGCACAAGAGGAGACAGCAGATAGTTGTTTTCATAGTATATACAGTCTAGTTGTTGTTTTGTCATGGCTAGCAATAGATAAACTATAGGAGCATGAAATTAATTAGATGGAGGGAAAACAGGAAAGGAAATATCTAGTGAAGAAAAAGTAGGAGACATTTTAGAATTTGACCAGGTCAAATATTTGGATTGGGTAGATGAATTACTTGGATTAATTTTAAATTCTAGAAACTAAATTAATCACAAAACAGAAGGCTGGTCTGAACTGAGCCTTTGAAATATTTCCTCATTTCTTACAACGAAAACAGAGATGCTATATCGAATTGCACGAACTTCTGGCTTGATAATTCCAAAGAAGTCGATACTACGTCAGCTGTTCTAAAAGGAAATTTCATTAAGATGTCTTGATGAAGACTTTTATTACCAGGGCTATTATAAGAAGGAGATCCGTGGAAGAGCTTTTTTGCAACTGAATCTGGTGTCAGCGACTTATAATCTGAGCGCATGCCAAGCGATGCAGGTGAACTACTTCTTCCTCGCCCATTGGAACTGACAGAAAGACTTCTCTGACCATTAGGGGTAGAGTTCCTGGAGCTTGCTTTCCGTGGGGTTCTATGGTGAGCCTGAATAATTGATTAAGATGATGATGCAAGGAAAAAAAAAAAGGAGCCAATAAATGAAATCATTCTACAATAACTTTTAATAAGTTAAACTAAACAAGACAATCCCCATCCCTCCATAGATTATAGCAATTGTTGATAATTAGAATAGATTTGTAGACCAGGTCTATTGGTTGGTTTTAAATTCAAAATAGTTTTATACGAGCCTTTCCCATTTCTTCTATGCTAATACCTAGGACCATGATAAACTAGAACACCTTGATGTTATTTTTCTGATGAACCCTAGCAGCATACAGTTAAGCATCATTTCCTTCGGTCCTAAATATAGGAGCTAGTTGAGGGGTTTGTCCTGGTCCTAAAGTGCTCTCCCAAACTAATTATTTTTTTCTACACTATCCCTATTGATTGCAATTATTAAGGGATGTTTCTATCATTAAGGGTAGTTTCCAATGCAAATGATTAAAAGATATATTTTAGGAAAACCAACACACATTTTTTTTTACAAATAACTAATTTTAAATAAGTTCCTTATTCTCTGTAAATTAATTATCTATCTCCTATATTTAGAACCAGAAGGAGTATGTATGCCAGGAGAAGCAGTGGAGTATAAATTTTACTGATACCGTGACTTGCGTATATTCAGAGATAAACTAAACAAGTTGGAAAAAGAGGAAGAAGTAAGTGCACGACAGAAAATGCATCTTCCTAGCAAATAATTAAGCAAATACAAATCTAGAGGAAGAAAATGAAAAGCATACCTAAGCTAAATCCTTAACAATTATTGAACTTCAAAATTACTTTTTAAGATTGATCATAGCTTCTAAGCCCAACAACTATATGAAGATACTTCATTCTCCATCAAGTGGTATATTGAGCAAACAACAAAAACTTGCTCCAAGAGCAGACGAAAATGAAAAGACTTCCATTCAATAATGTGATACTTATGCAAATCACTTACTTCTAGGGCGTGTTGCTTCCCTTTCAGAATTGCAAGCTTCCGCTCAAATGAATTACCATGCATCTGCAAATAAGCATTTTAGATTTTGTTTATAATCTTGCATAATATAACCCTTGCTAGAGTTTTGTATGCAATAAATTTGTAAGCACTCTACAATATGTGATACCAAAATGCGCAAAACTGATCCAAGCTACAAATAAATAAATATCCTACGCATGGAAGAAAGCATCACGCATATGTGACAAATAAGACAAGTAAAAGAAAATTAGTAAACATTTGCCTAAAACATCACAAAGCATTGCATGCCTAAACTAAGAAACTAAAACAAATTACATATTCAGAGATAAATCCGTATTATTTAAAAAAAAAAATTGCTAAATGAAGTTTTAGACACATGCACGTCCATGTCATATCTATGAACAACAAAACTGTAAGAACTAAATATGATATACTAATATGTCAAAGTCAGGATGCTAGGATGTATAATGCCGAGACACGGAATGTACTTACATTTGCCTTTGAGTAGTCCCACACAAAGAAACGAGTGAAAAGTGGCGGCTCATGGCCTTCAGTGACAACATAAATAGGGGTTTCTGGAGATAAATCCTCGACTAGAACGTCCATTTCAATAAATTTCTGCTCATTTCAGTGTCAATGTAAGAAGACAATTATACATATGTATACACGTGTGTGTGTTTGTGTGTGTAAGAATGAGTCACCTTTTGTCTTAGAATAGGGTTATTATTATCTATAGTATAGGTTATATATAGAGTACGCTAAAGGAAATAAATTTCTTCAAGGATAGGTCTTATAGGGTAGGCTATATTGATAGGCTCTCAATAAGCCATATTTACCTAGGCTCATCCTTTGCGTTTATCTATATCCTCTTAGATGAAAAATAGCATTCATTTGAGTCATTTCTTTCTAGATTAAGAAAGAGCACATTAAACCTTGATCACCTTTTAGGAATGAATTATGGATTTGCTCCTACAATGTGACCATCAAACAAGTTCTGAACATGCAAACACGAAAAAATCAAACTTATTCTCAATGATATGGTGAGAACTGTGAATAATAACTTTCATGTAAGGCTTGGCTTGCTGCTGTGTGTATGTATTGAAGTCAGGGGGTAGATGTCCAAAGGAAGAGATTCGAATGAAAGTATGGTCTGCCAATTAATGTTAGCATAATTGAATTAAAAAAAATAACGTTAGTATAAAGCCTTTCAATGCAGAAAAAGTAGGCAACTAAATAACAACAACGAACAAAAGCGGCCAATTTACCAAGCCAAGATTAAGAGCTTCTTGCTTTGATCTGACAACTGAATGTAAGCCCATCCAAACATAAATCTCCTTTTGGCAGTCAAGCAATAAAATGTCTTCAGTAACTAAGTCATCCTGTGTAAAATTGTAGATCTCCCTCACCTGAAATTTTATAAGGCCACTCTACCAGTGACTTTAGCAACAAAGAATGGAAATTTTGAAGTAAATGAAACCATAATACAAGAATTCACAGTATTATTGTAAAGGTGAGACTTAATGTTTTTAACCTTTGAAGCTCATTTTTTGCTTGACAAAATGGGCCACAGAAGACATAAACAAGATAGTAGGTTCAAAGAGCACAAAGGATTTCGGCCTCAAAAGAAGAGGGAAAAAAAACACTTGAGATATTTCCAACAACTTTGAATTTAGATTGCGAGCACATGATGGATCTTATATTGTTATTTTGGTAATGCTACTGTTATTGATCACAGAACACTTAATGGCCTAACAGAATCAACACGGATATTCAAATTTCACATACAAGTAAAAATAAAGAAAGAAAAATGGAAGTGTCAGCATAAATTATTGCATTCAAGATTTATGTAGTACACAAGCTTATATTTATACAAGCAACATACCTTGAAATCTCCTGAAATGACATTCCAATCAATTTGCGCAAGAAACAGAACCATCAATTAGACATGCTTTCCCTGTCATTTCAGCCGTGATAATTCTAAAACAGGCTAGAAAAAGATTATATTTATCATCAAGGGTGCTTTATTTACCTCCATTTATGTTTAATACAAACAAATGAGGATCCTCTGCATGTTTTTGAATTTCTTTCTCTCTTGGATACTCTGCCTTTCCTCCAAGAGTATCCCAGAAATCAGTAGGTTCATTCCCTTCCCTCACAGATATGGGTTGCAATGTTGGCTGCAAGTTACAACAAGCAAAAAAACTGAGGAAAGAAAAAGAGAGAAAACAGTAGAGTCCAGTCACATAATTAATACCAACATTTTTTTGGCAATAATTTAGCATCGATATTAATGCTAAACTTTTATAGTTACCATTTCATAATTCCACTGTAGTGAAATAACGAAGATAAATATTTCCAACACCAGGTTTATAATTACATACATTAAGCAGCTCCACCATTCGATCAAGAAGATTGTGGTCTTGAGCTGTAGATAGGCTCCCTATCCAAGTAAAGACAGATGCCCCAGTTTGCAAAATATAGCAATAGGATGAGTTGAGAGAGCCAGAAACCTATCAAATTTTAATACAGAGTCAATTAAAAGTGGCCTCAGTTATATGGCATCTGAAAAGCAGAAGCAAGCTTTTACAAGACAGCATCACCATAGTAACTGGAACAAACACTCCATACAAATCTCCCAAAAAATTACAAGCATCCAAGGACGGAGAACAGGACAATTCATGATATTATCTTTAATCCTAGATAGACTAAACAGTTGGATCATTGACATCAAAAAGTAAAATGGAGAAAAGAGACATGATGTGTCCACTATTATTAATAAAACTATTTATGGACCTCTCACTTTAAGGCTTACTGGGTTTGAACAATGACCTCATATTAACCTTATGCTTCAATCCCTTCGAGAACCACTTCAACTTAAGTTATTATCATAAAATCTAAGTCCAATAATTTTTAACAACTATTAACTAAGACTGGCAAGTAAAGAAGGCCATGAAGATATTAATTTGAGATTATCTAAATTGTGAGGTTATCACGATTCCAGCCAATAAATGAAAGGTTATTAAGAGATTTATCATATAGATGCTGTTACGGAAGATAGAGTTATAGCACAATATCCATACTCTTTAATTTTTCCATTCTACATGTTAGGTTGATCATTAATACTCGATCCGATTTTCATCAGAACATGGAATTAGCGGAAAAAGTTCTGCACCATAATCGCCTACTCCAGGAAGAGCGTTGGTACAAATCTTGTGCATCAATTTTCTAGTAATCAATGATAAAGTATGACACCACACAATACAATAGGATTCTGTTTGGGTTACAGCGTCAGAAGAACCACTGGAACATACATGATCAACTTGGATGGCCTGCATATTATCTGGACTTGTACCTTGGACTCGAATAAGAGCTACCTTCTTTTCACCATAAGTTTCATCCATCATACCACTTTCTTCTATAAAATTCTTATATCCCGAACTGATTCCCCCCTACCACGAGAAAATTTATTAGTTTAACGTTACGTGCTAAAATAACCTCAAATGTTGATTTGCTGTAGTAAGACAACATTATTGTGCACACCTACCTTAAATATAAACAGTCTCTGGAAAATTTCAAAAAACTGAGTTGGCTCCTTACCCTCATGAATCTGAGCCTAAACACATGTGATTTGATTTAGAGACTGCTAGAGTAAGTAAATTGGCAAAGTCAAGAATCGGATGAATCTGCAGCTGCTCAGAAAGCAGAATGCAGCAACAGGAAGACAGGATTTGTAGCAAAAATCATTATCATTTAAACATTTCCCAAAAATATTGGTTTTGGATTGTTTCACAAATTTATTCAACTCAAGCGTCAGCACATTTCAGAAGGGTCATGGAGAAAAAGCACAAACCACAACTGGATTAGTTCTGACCGAATCAACCATAGCATTGATGTGGGAAATGGCTGATGTTTTGTCCACCTGCAAGCCAATAATCATTGAACCAGAGGAAATCTTGAGTTATGAAAGTTTTCAGCTGCGAGTCTTTTACAAATTGAAGAACTGACTAAAACAATGAAGACAATAGTTATAATGATTCTAGTTAAAAAATATATAATTTCTTACTTTTATTTATTTATTTATTTTGTTTCAATCCCAACCGAGACGTCATAGGTAGCAACAATCTAGTGAAAGCAAAAGTTTTCCAATATAACCAGGTGAAAATTCCACCAGCCTGCGTACAGAAAACTTTGCCTACCTTGGTACATCTGTGACCAAGCCAAGCATAAATTAGAGTCTCATCTCTCTCATTTCCAGGGAATGTAAACTGTGCTATATAGCAATCCCCACTAAAAAGTTTTGTCTGTTCTTCATCTGAAAGAAGTGATAATTTATCACCATCCACCCTCCAAACCTGAAATTGCAGTATTGCATTAGTACAGGGAAAGAAATTACCATAAAAAGGCAACAATGTTTTAAGAAAGAAGCTACTTTTAGCATGCCCCTGCAATTTATAAGCGGTTCACTGTGCTCTTCAGGCAGCTCTTTTACATCATAACCCTGATACTTAAAAATTGCTGTGGCAAAGAAAGTAACAAATTAGAGGACGCATACTGGCTACAGTCTTTATAAGCACAAATACACTGTGTCAAGGTACTAAACCTGCCACTTTTTCTCGACCTTCCTCATAAAGGGTAGTCTCCACCATTTTGGGCCAATTACCAAAGTATGATCGAAATATGGCACTTTCTAATCCCTCAGATAAAAATGTCAAATGGGTACCATTTGATCTGCCTTCATTTCTGAGGAAATTCTGGTAAAATGGAGATGTGGTGAGAATAGGCAAAACATTAATTCAATGCTTATGGAAAAAATTATCGACTGCAAGTAATTAAAAAAAAAAAAAGGCCTTTCATTTGGACATGTTTGCTTAGATCCAAACTTCGTTATTGAATGAAGAATTATAATTATCAGTGCTATTATTTATTCAGCATCATTGTATTGATCACTCAGTTTCAGAAGTTGAAAAAATGTTATGTATGGACAACGTATAATTTTAAAAATGAGAAATTCAGTCTGACATAATATTCAAAACCTTAGCAAAGAAGAGTAAAAATGTCATGCAGTATTTTGGTTTCTCTTCTGCAGAAAGATTGGTGCTTCAGGTGGGGGCCTCTTCTGGAAGTTAAGATTTAGAATGTTTGGTAGGAAGCAAGATGGTGGCAAATTTATGAGAAGTGACAAGACTTATGTCAGAACTGTCAGTCTCTTACTTATTAGTAGACTGATGTGTGACTTGAGCTTACGAGTTTCATAAATGCAGGAGAATAGCCAGTAAATGGCAGAGATCACTGCAACTGGAAGGAGGCATGTGGGCGGAAGACAGTATGCCAAAAGAAGGGGCAAGTTTGCGCTACAAAATGGGATATGCCTTATTTTGAAATAGAATGGAGGTAAAAGGATTTCTTGCATGATTATACCAAAGATTGGGGGAAGCAAAGATCTTTCTGAAGGCCTACTTCCAAGGCCGAAGTATACTACTAGGTGATCAAACAATTATTAGCCATTAAATCATGAATTTTACCCCACTTTTAAGTGGCATTTTGACATCGTCATCTCATGTCTTTTCAATTATTTCACCATTTGCAGTTCATTCTTAAGTGTCTGAACATTAAGTGAGGAAAGAAGAGAAAGGCATCTGGAGAAAACAAGATATCCTTACTTCTACAGCTGAAATTGATGTTTTTCTTTCTGTCAATAGGGTTTGCCTTCCCATCCACACATAAATCTCAGTACCACAGTCCAACATATAACACTTGTCTGTCTCAAGCATTTCTTTGCTCAAAGCATCTTTTCCAGCTTGACAAAGCTTTCCCTGTAAATTTATCCTGTTTAAAAAAAAAAAAAAAAAGACAGTTCCTAAGTTTGCAGTCACAAAATTATTTCTTGAAGGAAGTTATTTTCACTTCTTATTTCTCTCAAGCACATTGCCTTAAGCAATGTACTTTAAATTTTGCTAAAAGTCCGTTTTGGCCTATAGAAGACGATGATAAGCTTACCTAGTAATAGGCTCATTTAAAGTTAAATTTGCCAACCAATTAGTTAGAGTTTCTTCTTAGGTCGAATGCAGATTTGTTGGGTGTTTACAGAAAGAAAAGGTCGGACCATGATTGACTCTCAACAAATCCACTAATGCATTTGCACAAGCATTAAACGTACATAGTCAGATGTTTAAATAATTTTTTTTGGGACAACTTGAATCGTTTTGAACCTAAGAAAAGCTCACCAGAACAGTTTTATAGATGAATCAACGGGTTGTTCCTGAGCAGAAGGCAATTCACGAGGAATGGGAGCATAACCACCAAATAAATTCCAGAATTCTCCCACATCAGAGTCACCAACAAATTTTCCATCCTCTGCAGCAGATTGATCAATTAAGATTTGCAACAACTTTCCATTAAGATAAAAGCGTATAAAAAAATTGTATATCCCAACCTATTGTTGCCACTTCACAGTTTCCATTATGCTTATTCTCTTTAATATACTGAATGACCTCCAAAGCTTTTGCTCTTTCTTGTATGGTAGAGTTGCACCCACTGAAGAGGAAAATTTTTGATGCAGTGTCAAGTATGAACACGTCATCATGATTCAATGATGACCGTAGGAAAGGCACCTGATGAATTCATAAGCTCATCAAGCAGACTAGACAAGCCAATTTCCGATAAAACCATAAAGAAAAACTGATCAAGGATAATTAGAAAATACATCTGAGAAATTAAATTTGAAAGAGAAGACTGAGAAAACAAAATTTTGAAATTTGTCAGGATAAGACCCAAAAAAACGCCAGGAATCTAACAAACTAATGCAATGGTAAGAGTTGAAAAATTAAAAAATTTTCATCAATACTCCCTTATGACAAAAAGAGCTGGAAAAGGAGAGAGGCAAAAACATACAAATCTTATCCTTTCTGATAAGTGAAATTGAATTCTTATCAGAGACAGAAAGATTTGGCAGGAACTAGAAAGCGAATCAGGGAGGGCTGACTGAGCAGAGAAATCTATCATTAATCTACTATTCTCTGTTTTTGAGGAGTAAATTAGAATATTCCTGGAATATGTAAATAATCGCTGCTAACCTTCTAACATAAATATGGGTCAAGGCTAAGTTATAATGCACTGAAGCCAACAACTATTCCTTTCTCTCCAATGTGCACTCTGTTCTCAACTTTTCCCTCTACCACGTCTATATATTTTTCAACAGTGATCATAAAAACTATAAGGTTTGCAATAATTCTTTCATACGTGAATTCCACATAATATGGAGATAAAAATTCATTACAAGCCTAAGAGAAAACTCACTTCTTTCACACGAACAACATGGTCTCCCTTGCATGAGTACAGACTGACTTGGTATTCACCACTTAAGTTCCCTTCCTTTGAAGTAAATACGCCTTCAATAGGTATAATACAAGGCTTGAAATAAGATAGAAATTTCTGTGATTCTTGGCCTTGAATTTCTCTGTATTGAACACTACAAGATCCTAAGGCTGCATCCAGCTCAAGTGCCTTGTCCGATGCCAAGGCTGAGTCAACCTGCAAATGCATATCACAACACAACAACAATGCAGATTATGGTATTTAATCAGAATCATTCGGTTCAATATTAATATATGTCAAAGAATAATGAATATTCTTGAATGAACCATTTGGCACAAGTGAGGTACATAATTATTAGTGACATTTTTTTTTTTTGAAAAAAAAAATGTAGCTTGAAATTTTTAATGGTCACAGTGCAGTTCTCATTGTTCGGGCAACACGGGTTTTGAGCCTGTCTTCTGGGCGGCCATTTCATGCCTAAACCCCCTCCCAAAAAAAGGTACATCTTTCATGGTCAATATGGCAGCCATCCCACATGAGCCTTACTCTATGGTAAATCAGTTTTAACTCTGTAATTATTAGGAAACTATTCTCTGTAAATAGACGCTGATTTCTCAAGGTTATACAGAGAGATAGTCACTTCATACCATCTACTTAAGCATAAAGGAGTTCATAAGACAATTCTGATCGCCTATGTATGTTATAGATAAAGAATCAGATAGTTGATATGATTTGATTGTAAATATTGTAATCCTAGTGATTAGGGAATTGATGTCTATTAATGAGCCATTAATACATATGCTCCTCTCTCTTGTATATATATTAACTCTCAAAGAATGAATCAAGCAACCATTTTTGAATTATTCTCTCCTTCATTTCTTCATGGAATCGAAGTAAGATGGTATTGTTCTTCCTGGAGATGATACAGAAGACATGGAAAGACAAAAAAAAATCTCCAGCAAAAGAATTTGAAGAGAAGAACCGAGGACTGATTTAGTATTTCTTAGGTATCAAGATTCCTACATCAAAGACAGGGATCTACATTTCTCAAAGGAAAAATATCCCTGACCTTCTAAGGGAAACTAGAATGCTTGGTCAAAACCCAAGTAATACTCCTATAGAAGGAAGAAGAGGCAAAGATGGGAAACTTGTTGAAACGAAAAGGTATGAAAAGTTGGTTGGGGGACTGATATATCTCTCCGAAATAGGACCAGATATCACATTTGTGGTAAGTGTTGTAAGCCAGCGTATGCATCCTCTGAAAGAGAGGCGCCTTGAAGCACTTTACAGAATCACAAGATACCTATGAGCACTTTGGGAAGAGGACTATTATTTTTAAGAGGGGTAGCCAGAGCAATATAGATATACAAGACGAAGACTAGGCTGGTTCTATAGAGGATGGAAAATCAACTTCAGGGTACTGCATGGGGTCAACCCTATTACATGGAGAAACAAGAAACAGAATGTTGTGGCTAGGGGCAGAGTAGAAGCTAAGTTTAAGGCTGCCGAAGGAATCAATGAAGTTCTATGGCTCAAGAGATTATCAAAGGAGATACAAGCACCTACGGTAACCTATAAAACTTTATTGCAAGAAGAAAGCTGTCATAAATATTGCTCATAATCTAGTTTAACACGATAGAACCAAGCCTGTTGAAGTGGATATTCATTTCATCAAAGAAAAGACAGAAGATAGGATTATCTTCACCAAAAGTTTCCAAGACAGTTGTTTGAAGATTGTATGAGTAAGCTGGATATGATAAGTATCTGTAATCCAACTTGAGGGGGAGGACGGTCAAAATCAGTTTTAGTACTGTAATTATTGGGAAATTAATAGGTGCTGATTTCTTGGCTCAAGAAAACAAAAACAAAAGGCATTGATTTCTTGAGGATATTAATGTATTTTTTTTATTTTTCCTGCCTCGCTTCCCTGAATTTGTGCCCCTAACCCCTTGAAATATAGTGTACGTATTGCAACCTTTATCAATAAAGTCAACTTTCTCCGCTCCTTAACACATAGTCCTTATCATTTCACTGTTCAATTAACTGAAATTCTGCATCAAACAGATCTTGGTGGAAATCTAACAGGTAAAAACTGCTATGGCTGAGTAAAATCATTGGCTGTATATCAAAAGGAGATACATTCGAACTCCACTAGTCCCTAACTCCCTACCAGTTCATACTGTTTACAATAAAATTCCTATCATAAGACACCGCTCCCACATTCCCGCTCTCATCTCATTAGAGAAGGATTGATTGCAGTAAAATTCGAAGAAAAAAAACAAACCAAATTGAAAAACGATAATTACTAAAAAAGTATGTAAAGCAAAAAATTACCTTATCTGCAGAAAATTAACAATGTAGTCAAGGGAAAGCCAGTCAGAAGATAGAATGAAAAAGGATAATACCTTGTTTGCATCATTTCCCAGCCAATAATGTAGGTCATGCTGAGGTGGACCACTTTTAGGGAACACTGTCTGTCATCATAAACATTCAGACAGAGACAAAGATCAATTGAAGGTCAAGAGAACTTTATCAAGATAAGGTTCAAACTGATAGGGAACCACTGAAAATCCATCATGTTGTATATGAACTTCAAAGTAATATATCAGCTTCCAAAAAGACAAAGTGAGAGATATTATTAGGGTGAAAATTTTTAAATCTTGGGATATGAATTGAAATATAGATTGCTAATATGCTCACTTGTTTGTTAACTTGAAAGCATATACAAGAAAACGAAGTGATGGGGATCTTACATTTAAAACTATGTATGCACTTCCAGTATAGAATTTCCCATGGCAGGAGTGTGGCACCGAAACCAAATGCTGGTTCTCAATACACCAAACTTCTATGCCTCTAAGAATAGATAGCTAAGTGCAAAGCTAGCTTGCATGGAAAATGATAACGACGGTTGATGCCATATTGTCTGTTTTAACCAAGAGATATTTTGAAATAAAATTTAGTGAAATAATAAATCTCCAGGCCAAGACTTTTTAAATTATGTCCGCTCACAGATATTTTATAAATCACCACTATCAGAATGCAAGAAATCATATTCTCATCAGGCTTAGACTTTATCTCTACTGTCAAGAAGGCAGAGTTTAAATGGCTGCAGATGCCCTTTTTAATCGAGACAGGCTCATGCAAATACTAGTACTTTGGTTTTATGTAATTTTGTCATTAGATGGAAACACAATTTCGCTTTGTTTAGGCAAAAAACAGAGTCTGACAATACCTAGTGAAGAGAATAAACAGAAGCTACAAGGCAATTTAAAATAAAAACAACTATCAGGATACGGCTTTGCTCCTGCAGTCTGGAATGCTGAATCCAAGTCCTTAGTATATACAGGCATTGTCTCTCATGACTTGGACACTCCACCAAAATAGTTGGACCCTAAATTATCCTGCAGTGTGGTGTTTTAGTTATATTAGTGTGAGTAAGATATAATTAATGTGCTTGCACTTATCAGAGCGAATTATCTAAATGTTTATCATCAATAGAAAATAAAAGTAGAAAGAAATCTAGGAATCTATGTCAATGTTCAGCCCACTAATAAACCAGCAGATATGCTGTAGTAATGTGGCAAGGCGAGCAAAGACATGCAATGTTTATGCAATTAATCTCATGCATCAAGGATGGCAGCTGAAGAACCACAGTGAAGTCTAGTACATCCAATAATTTACAGAACTTCCTAGTCACTAAAGTGCAAAACGTCAAAACGGAGATTGCCTGTTTGTCAAATGTGAATAATTCAACCATGATGCAAACAATAGTTAAACATTTGAATATAATCCTAACACAGTGATAAAAAGACACATGGAAGCCATATTATCTCTGTTTGCACTCTTGTCAATCACCCAACTAATGCTAGTGAACTCCTTAGTTCTATAGAGTCCATAGCTTAGTTGTTGTGCCTTTGTAAGCCGTTGTACATTTTGTTAATATATTCATTTCCACTAAAAAAAAGAAAAGAGTCTTTTCGTATCACTTGTTCTTCTTTTTGTATATATAACAGCAGAGTTCCTCGCTAATTACATAAACCTTCACCATTATACCGCCCCTACTCTACAATGGACATCAATCTGGCCCGGTGAGTTATATAAATTCCATTAAGCTTAAATTGACTTTTGAGCTGCTGAAGATATGTCACACCATATGAACTTATTTCATTAAAATAATATGTATGAGAGTGTATATTCAGCAATATGAGAACAATCTGCCCCTCTCCATCCCGCGATCATCTCTCGGCGGGTATAGGGAACAACCAGAAGAAGTTCTCGCATTCTTCTTTCATTCTTTACTTATTCACCGGGGCGTAACAACTTTCTGAATCAAATGCAAGCGAGTCGCTGATCGAATAACATTGCCTCAACTTTTCATAAATGCGTTTGAGAAAACACCAGATGTCCCCCGAAAAGAAATCAACCCAAGTTGACAAAAACAATCAAGACGCACTATCCGATACAACAGAACCCAATTCAGCCTATTACATACTCTGCAATTATTAAGCCTCTGAAATTACTATCTGAAGCTCAAAAGTGGTTCTTTTAAGGGGGTAAAAGTAATGCAAATGAAAGGCAAAGCTATAGATGATCTGAACTTAGAAAGAAAGACAGATTATGCAATTATGGATGAGTGGCAAGATCATACCTTCTGTAGGAGATTCAAGTAGAATCAACAGCTAAAAGGTGAAACTTATTTGGATGCTTGTACACAGTGAGAGGGATGGAAGAAGACGGAGGATATTCTCCCTTTCTGAAAAAGCAAATGACGAAAGACTGTTGAAATACAAAGCACATTTATACTGGTCGTTGATTTTGAATATATAGATAAAGAATTTTGGAGGCAGTGTTTGGTGCCGAAAGAGAAAGGCAGAGAGAGAGAAAGAAAAGCAATATAAAAATTAAAAAGCACGATGCTTGAGTACTTGACTGACTTCATCGTCCAGCTAATGGGGGACCCACTAACGTAAATTTCTAGTTGTCTCCGCCTCTTTACTGGAGAAAAGCACAGGATGAGAGAGACGGAGCTACATGGGTATGTCGCTCGCAGGCCAGTGAAGACCAAAGGGAGAATCTTTGAGCGGGAATTTCCTTTTCCCTTTTTTTTTTTTTTTTTGTCATTTCCTTCTCACACTGCCTCGTATTTTCGGTTGATGTTAATGATGTTCAGTAAGCGAATTTCGGATTCGATCTCTTTTGTATAATTATTTTCCTTTGGCTTTTGCGAACTGTCTGGTTGTTTGGCATTTTGGAAGGTATAGATTAATATTAGAAGTTGAGCTTGTTATTACCATCAATTAACGCTTTCAATGCTGGTCAAAAAACAATTAACGCTTTCAATGAATCCATCCGCCTCTCTGGTTTACACGTAAAATTTGGATGTTCATGAATTATTATGCCATGGAACTTCTTTCTTATCTACACTATTTGAATAATGTATTTTTGTGGGGGTAGCTCCTTATTGCTTATGTGAATATTTTTCAATTTTTTATAATTAAACAATACATTCTGTTATTATTTTTTGTAAAAAAAATTCAAAATCTATTTTTTCAACTAATATTAATTAAAAATTGTACTCGTACTTCTTTTATACTTAAAGATCATCTTTAACTAAAGGGAAAAATAACCATAAAATATATGTTGAACTTCAAAATGATAAATATAGATGTTAACTATTTTCATAAAGGTATTGATTATTCCTGTAAAGTTTTTTACGTGCTAAAATCAATTATTTATTGTTTTGAAATTCAACAGTTTTTTTTTTGTCATTTTTCTGTAACTAAAAGCTGTAATATAAACTTTTAGCTGTTTTTAGGTAAAAATTTTTAATTGAAAAATATCCATTCATGTCATAAGTATAAAAACTAGTTGAAGGGTTTGTTTTGGTATTAAATATAAGGATTTAATTCATTTTATCTTTCAAATTTATATTTTTTAAAATTGTCTTTATTTATTACATATGTTAAAAGGGTTTGTATCAACAAGAATAGCTTTAAAGTAAAATGATTAAAAATTGTATTTTTTTTAAACCTAACACTCGTTTTAATAAATACTCAGATTAACTAATTTTCTCAATATTTATAAATTAATTAAAGTTAATATCATTGCTGGTCCTTATAGTTTGATCTAATTTTAATTTTGATCCCTATAGTTTTAAATTATTGGTTTTGATCATTATTTTTTTATAAGAACTTAGTCCGAGTTTAAATATCAGGACCAAAATAAAAAAATCATGAGGAATATAGAAATCATTCATCAAACTTAAAACAAAAAATTATGAAACTATAAAAATCAAAATCACCTATTTAAAATTGCATAGATCAAAATAAAAATTGCATATGGCAAATAGTATGTAATGTTAACTAACAACCACCACCTCGGATCTACAAGGTGTTGTGCCATTAAAGGACCAACTAAACATAAATGCCAGCTCCTACAAGTCTCCTTTCTCCTCTAGCGTTGAAATGAGTCACCCGGGTTTCCCATCAAACAGCCAAAGATGGCATTTCAAGGAACTTCCTTCAATGTTAGCACTATGTTGGTCAAAAGGCTATGGGAACATCCTTTTGGTTTTAGATTTCATAAAAGTTATTAATTTGATGATTAGGTTTAGAGATATCATTGATTGATGATATTTGTAGGTTTTTTGTTTGGTAAAATGATATTTGTAGGTTTTGATTAATCACGCACACAAGAAACACCTTTTTTTTTTTTTAGCTAACTTACTAATTCCTCTCATAACACAGGTAAATTTTTGTATCATTGATTAATTTTTGCCTGTTAGGCAAGAAATGAAGGTTGATGGAGGAGATTAGTCTTTCTTGTTTTGTTTATAAGCACCATCATGGGATTAATTAGTTTTTTACAATAATCTCAATGACATATCTATATATTTTACAGGAAAAGCATATGGAAATGTGTTTGCAATAAAATTAAATGATTTTGCACCCATTTTATGGTATTTCATAGCTAATCCATATTATTTACTATTTGGATAAAAGATCAAATATTAACAAAACCACCAATAAAATCTTGTCTCATTAGAGGGTGTTGGCAATATGAAATGTACAGTGTCATTGTACTCTATTTCAAACTAAATATTTTAGTAAATTATTAATTAAAAAAAAGCTCTTTTAATAACTTTTTTGAGTGTTCTTTTTAGTCTTTTTTTTTTTAAAGAGAACTTTATGTTGCATCATCAACCTTTTTTACTAGCATATTTAACAGCTTTCCTTGAATATGTTCGAACCATGTCAAATGGTTTTTCACTATTTTCTCTTCAATAGATATCACTTCAACTCTTCGACATGTGTGTATATCATAATTTTTTTTTCTAATAACCACACATTCATCTCAACATTATAAATTTTGTGCTCATGTTATTCTTTAAAGCTCAACATTTACCGCCATAAAATATTGCTGAGATTATATTAGTGTGATAAAACTTTCATTATATATATATATATATATCTTATTATATGCTTTCTAATCATAAATAATTTCAGTAACTTTTTCAACCAACATTAAAGTAAAAAGATACAAGTAAAACTCCATCGCGCTTAGATCATACTGGGTATCGTACAAACGCTAATGGACTATAGACACAAGACTGGAGACCCAACAAACAATTTGATGGGCTTCACTCCGAAAGGCTCAAGTGGCAAACAAAGCGCTTGCTCATGAAGCCGAAGAATGGGTTATATTTTCAAAAGTAATTTATATTGTTACCAAAAAAAAAAAAGTAATTTATATTATTTAGAATTTGTATTGGGTTATTATTATTTTTGTTCTTTGCCATGTTAGTTCAATAATTTTAAACACTGCTATAACTCCACAACTAATTTATATTGGAAAAGGAAGGGAGGGGAAGGGAAGTCATGGTTTTCTTTGGTTGGAGAGGAGGAGAGGGGAGAGAAGAGGAGATTTTTAATTTGGTTCATAAGAGGACGGGAGGGGAGATAATTATAAATTGACAAATATGCTCTTATTTCTATATTTAGACTGATTTATTTTTTATTACAATATTTATGTCAAAATTATTATTTCTTAATTTATCAATTTCAAAAAAAACCAATTACCTCATTTACATGTGATAAAAAAATGATAAAACTAAAAAACTTGGAAAATATTATAAAAAATTTAATGTTCTATCTCATTAATTTTATAAATATATGTATTAATATATATGATATGTATATATTATATAATTATGACACGAATGCTATGATATATAATTATAATATACACATATTATGATATGTATATATTAATATATATGATATGTATATATTATAATATTATAATTATCAAATATTATTAGTGGTTAAAAAGAGAAAGAAGTGAAAAAAAGATTTTTAATAAGATGGACAAATTAAAAATATTGAAAAATTAGTATGGGTAGTTTAATCAATATTAGACATAATATTTCTCTCCTTTTTAAAAAACTCCAAATTTAAAAGGAAGTATGAGGAGGAGAAGGGAGTATTGAAAGACAAATTTTTTTCCTTCCTTCCTTTCTATCTTTCCTAACCAAACACACTTATCTTCTTCCCTTCCCTTTACCCCCCTCCAACCAAACAGAGCCGAAAAGTGTCCTGGATTCGAGCCCGTCGCAAAACTCATTGCGGCCACTCTACGCCTCGAAACAATCGCAGCTATCCGGGAGGCCTGGTTTTTGGGGGAGGGAATAAAAAAGACAATCTCACTGCCACAACTATCATTCGAGGAACGCTGAAACCATTTTTGGGAGAACCAAAACTCCTCTGTAACGAGCCACGGCCGGAGACCAGAGTGACATGAGGCTTATCAGCGACAAGATAAAGGGCTGCTTGGAGGGTGTTGTTGCGCCGGTGAAGGAGATGAGTGTCTGAATCGAGCAGGGGCTTGTTTCTCTGCATTTGACGGCACTGTACCGGTGACAACAGTCAATCTCTGCCGGCGGACGCATCTGGTGGTAAGCTTTCGAAATAAAAAATCAAAAGAATAACAACACAAAAACCATTGTCACCGAGAGCCAAAAACTTGTTGATGTTGTGAAGAGAGTAAGCGTATGCAGCAATGACCAGTAATGAATTCATTGACGAGTTTATGGCCTCTTTGGTTCTCGCTGTTGTGCCATTGAATTACCGCATTTTCTCTCCGACCCGAGAAGACTGTCAAATTAAACTCTACTAATTGTATTTTCGCCCTTTCTTTCTTTTTCAAATGATTGATGCCCATTGCTTGTCAACGTGCCAATGGAAAATGTAGAATTGCAGGATCTCTAATTCCTTTGCGTTCATTCCTCTAGTACAAGTATGCATCTCCTGTATGATATCCTGGATTTATAGCTTTATTCTTGTGTTCTCCTGGGTTTCTCTCTTAAAAATAATAGAATTTTAAAAACTGTGAGAAGTAAGAAACGCATGATACAATTCGGGTATGTGCCGTATTACTATTACATACTCATTCATCTAAGATATGTATATAGCACTGGTACTTCTCCCCGAATGGATTATCAATGCTTCAATCATGCCTGCTTTCATTTTTTTCCCCCCTTTTGTTAAAACGTCTGTTTTCATTTGTTCTGTTAATTAGTTTGTAGTTGTTCAGATCAATAATTGAATTCTTTTGATCAATTTTCTGCCCTTTCTGACAAATTTTGCATGGAAATGCTCTCTAAGAAGAAAAACTTATATTTATTATGTGATATCAAACTTTGTCTTTACATCTGAAGCCCCTCTTATTTTTTCAGTGATTCAGGTGAACTGTGACTCTTGGTTTTGGTTAAGCAATGATTAAACTTTGTGACCCCAGAAGAAAGTTATACTCTAACTCGAGAGTTTTTGCCAAAATGTATGGTGCAAATGAACGACTGCAGGACATTTCAGATATAACTAGAAAATTATGCAAGGTTATAATGTCCTCTCCCACATTAGCACTTGATACTGCTCTAAATCAAACTGGGATTAGAGTTTCACCGGATATAGTTGAGAATGTTCTTAAGAGATTTGAGAATGCCGGTATGGTGGCATATAGGTTCTTTGAATGGGCTGGGAAGCAGCAAAATTACTCACACAGCATTAGGGCATACCACACAATGATTGGATCTTTGGCAAAGATAAGGCAGTATCAAATCATGTGGGACCTGGTAAATGCTATGAAGAAAAAGGAGATGCTAAATGTTGAGACCTTTTGTATTATTATGAGAAAGTATGCTAGGGCTCAGAAGGTAGAGGAGGCTATTTACACATTTAATGTCATGGAAAAATATAACATATCTCTGAATCTCGCTGCCTTCAATGGTTTGCTGAGCGCTTTATGCAAGTCCAAGAATGTAAGGAAGGCTCAAGAGATCTTTGACCGTACAAAGGATAGATTTATTCCAGACTCAAAAACTTACAGCATATTGCTTGAAGGATGGGGAAAGGCTCCGAATCTTCCAAAAGCAAGAGAGATTTTCAGAGAAATGGTTGACGTGGGATGCAACCCTGATATAGTCACCTATGGCATAATGGTTGACATTCTTTGTAAAGCAGGAAGAGTTGATGAAGCTGTTGAGGTTGTTAAGGATATGGATGCCAACAATTGCAGGCCAACATCTTTCATTTATAGTGTCCTGGTTCATACATATGGGGTTGAACTTCGGATTGAAGATGCTATTGGTACATTCCTAGACATGGAAAGGAATGGAGTTAAGGCAGATATTGTGGTTTATAATGCCTTGATCAGTGGTTTTTGTAAAGTAAACAAATTTAAGAACGTTTATAGAGTCTTAAATGAAATGGAATCCAAGGGTATCACTCCTAATTCAAGGACCTATAACATAATCATAAGTAGCTTGATAGGTAATGATCAGAGTGATGAGGCTTATAGTGTCTTTCGCAGGATGATTAAGTCTTGTGAACCAGATGCTGATACTTATACAATGATGATAAAAATGTTTTGTGAGGGAAATGATTTGGAGAGGGCTCTTAAAATATGGAGATATATGAAACGAAAACGGTTTGTCCCAAGCATGCACACTTTTTCAGTCCTTATAAATGGGTTGTGTGAGAAGGGCAATGTTACAAAGGCTTGCGTTTTGTTGGAAGATATGATAGAGAAGGGAATTCGGCCCTCAGGTGTCACATTTGGGAAGCTAAGACAGTTGCTTATTAAGGAAGGGAGAGAGGATGTGCTCCAATTTCTTCAAGAGAAGATGAATCTTCTTGTCAAGGAGCCACTTTTTGATTAAAAAGCATTACAAGAAATCAGAAACTGGCAAATCAATTTTGCAGTCAAGACCGTTGGATTTCAATGCCCTCCCAATTAGTTTGGATGTTAGCTGCCAACAGGTCAAATTTTCCCCTCGCATTGGCAACAGTTTTTTGAATATATGTGCTAAACTTTTTTCACTCAAGTTTTTAATTATAATCCACATTGAATTGCTGCATACTGCTACATCATTAGCTACAAAAGAACAGAAAGATGGACATTTGGTTAAGTAGTCAAAAGTCAAAACAAGCAAGGAATCTAGGAGGGGAAGAAGAGGGAAAGAGGAATTACAAAGTTGTCTGAACAGCATGCAGAGCTTGCCCAGGTCCAGGTTTACGCTTGATCTTTTATTTCAGTATAATGCATGCCCTTTGATTAGCCCTCCTCTTGTCTATCAAGGTGCAAATGGAATCTGATGGAGGAGCAAGGTGTGATCAAGAGCACGGGCAAGGAGCCCAAACAAAGAAGTCCAACATTCCAAAAGATCCATTATAAGGCATTGGAGGCCCAATGACAAGAGCAAGGACCAAAGCTATGAAGGAGGCCCTAACTTGTCTAATAAGAGAGTTAAAAGAGCTGGAGCCTATTTATTTGGAAAAAGCACATTTTAATGAGCCTAAAAGGAGTCCAAAAATGGTGATTACATTGCTAGAAGCCCAACAAGATGATGTACAAGGCCCATGTAGGGTTCAGATTGAAGAATTCACTTAAAATACCATGTGACAAGCATGTACCTTAGACAAGGATCATAAGTGACATCCAAGAAGGATCAAGAAGGTATCATTATGAATTGATTATGATTTAAATTTGTTTTTTAGGTCAAGGAGTATTCTAGAAAATCATGTTTTGATCTATTTTCCTATTTTTAAATAGCAAACTTGTTCTTGAAATTTAAGTTATTTTCTTTTATTTCTATGTAATAAATGGTACCTTCCATAGTCAAATAATCATTAATGAGGCATCATTCCTAGCATTTATGTCTTAGGATGCTGATTCTAGAGTGTTCTATTGTTGCCCATATATAGGCTACGTTTTTGTAATTGAAGGCAGACTTAGATGAATGAGAATTGAGTTTATTTCTCTCCGTGTGAGCTTTGCTTGCATCCTTGTATTCTCGTGAGAATACTCGACAGTATCAAGGGATTGATCAACCTTGTGGTATCTTCATGGCTAGGGTTGTAAGAGACAGGTTCTCTTAAGATCCTACTTAGATCAACCGTCCGTTCGTTACTTGATTCTAACCGGTCCGTACGTGCCCTCATATCAGAATCCTTTTACATATTCATATTTCATTGTTTAGCTTAAATTATATCCTTGTTTTTTTTTTTTTCATTTCGGGGATTAGCTGTATCCTTGTAATTATTACTAGATATCAACTTTTGGAGTAGGAATAAGAAGCTATCTGTACTCTTTAACTTTCTTTTGTTAAAATTCGTTTCACTTTCTGAAGTAGCTGTTTGGCTGCTGTTTTGGGCTTTACACTCTTTGCAAACTTGTCTTTCTAACGTATATTTTTTTAAGCAGCAATAAAGGACCAACATTTTCATCAGTAAAGATCAAAGCTGATACACGGCGCAACACAAAGAGATTAAAGCTTTAAAGGTTAGGAGACCGTAAATTATTATGCGTGTTGACGGTGAAAAGAATTCCCTTGCCAATCATGTGGACTGTAAACCACGAGCTTCAAGAACACTGTGATCTGAGTCAGATATTCGTTTTTCGATTATTATTCACCGTACAGGAGAAGTCAACTTGCTGCACTTTCAAGGTGTTGAAAGTTGAAACGTGATTTTGGCTTTGGTTTTGCCAAAATGTAGGTTTGAAACCATCCAAACATGTTTCCAAACACTCTTTTGGGGGATAGGTTCCATAGCACATGTATAACCTTCACAATAGTTTAGTTTCAAACTGGACGGATGCACTAAGCCCTATCAGCAACGTAATCTGTCATGCTTAGATGAGGTCGATACTCAAACCCAACGCATATGTTTTAGGAAACTAGTTTGACGAGAGTGATTAGATCAATGGAGCTAGTGATCCATGTGTGCGCTTCTTTGCAATTTTTTTAAATTAACATTAAATCAATAAGAAACTATTTTGATGGGATTGATATATTCCAACCATGCTGGAATTATCTTAGTAGCTAAATGAAACATGTTCGAATTGGTTAAGATTATGAGAGCAGCAAAACTCTTCCAACGAATTTTTAATACAATTGTGCACTTAGGGTTTAATCCCAAGACCATTAGTTAAAATAGCATAATATTCTCTTTTAAGACTTTCAATTTCTTTTTCTTTTTTTTTAATGTCAGCATGTCACTTCTAATGAAAAATTTTGTTCCTATTTATGTGTCAATTTATAATTTTAAAACCATATTAATTACTATTTTTCCAAATATATTCTCATATTAGTATACTTAATTATTCTCAAAACACATTAGTTACCACTATAGAGAGCAGAGACGTATTTAGGATGTCCATTAGATTAATTAAGATTTAATTATGTTTTATCATTATTATCTTTCTTTGAACCAAGCTGCCCTATTTCCCAACCTCCTTTTTCTATTTTCTCCCTTTCTCCTTTCGTTTCTCCCTCTCCCTTCCCTTTTTTTCTTTCGTGTTGCACATCACCATTATTAAAATACTCCTCCGATTCAAAATATAAGTTAAACTTTATTAGAATGGTTTGATTTTTTTTTTATAAGATAATATTCATTTTTGTCTAAACATTTAATGAGTTTTTTTAATTTATCCTCAAATATTGTCTTTCCTTTTTTATTCATTTATTATTACATCTTCTATTTATTTTCTTTATTAATAAAATCATATTTGGAGAAAAAAATACATGACTTACATATTTATTATTTTAAATTGATTTTAACTAATTTCTTGATGAACGTGAATAGATATAATTTAGCTTATATTTTAAACCCCAGGGAGTATTTTATAATTTTTTAGTCAATTTTAAACGGTTCAAAATTAAATTTAATAGTTTAAATATATATTGTTATTTAGTACTATCTTCTATAATTAATATAAGAGTAAATTAAAGATTCAGTTTAGTTTAAAATATAAAACTCTAATATGCTTTGTTTTCAATAATTATCAATTTTGACTCTAAGTAATCTCTGTACATGATAAGGAGTTTTCATAAAAAGTATTTCAATGCACATGATTATTAAGAATCTTTTAAAAAAGATAACATTTATTTTGAAAAAATGACACAAAAAAGACATTTAAACATGAAAATCTCAAAATAGTTAGATGAATAAGCAAAATACCAATTTAGGTATGGGTGACCAATTTAAAATTTACAAATTTGCTGAAATGACCATATTGCCCTTTATTTTTTAATTCTTTTTTAAAAATTAAATGCCTTCATTAGCTGGCTAGTTGCCAGACCTCTGGTGTTGGCGGCAGCTGCTAGAGTTTAAGTGACCGTGGTCACCGGAGCTCCAATAGCCGGGAACTATTTTTCTGGAAAATTTTTTTAACTTTAGTAACACGGTTAACAATTTCCGTAACACTATTAACAAGTTCAGTATAAAACTTAATAACAGGTTTTTCAGAAAATTCAAAAAAATGACATTTTTACAACTTTAGTAACGCTATTAACAAGTTTTGTAATTTTATTAACAAATTTGATATAGCATTTAATAACAGGTTTTCTAGAAAATTCAAAAAATGGTATTTTTACAACTTTAGTAACATGGTTAACAAGTTATGTAATGACATTAACAATTCTCATAACCATAATGGCTACCTAATAAGTGAGAAAATTTTATTGTACAATTTTCATAGGGAGCTAATATTAAAAACATAAACCTTTATGAGAGTTACTAATATCGTTACATGACTTGTTAACTGTATTACTAAAGTTGTAAAAATATCACCTTTAAATTTTTCAAAAAACCTATTGTTAAATATCATACCAAACTTATTAATAGAGTTATAGAACTTTTAACGACACTAATGAAGTTGTAAAACTGCAACATTTTAAATTTCTTGAAAAACTTGTCGTTAATTGCTATATTGAACTTGTTAATAATATTACAAAACTTATTAATTGTGTTATTGAGGTTGTTAAATTTTTCAAAAAAAAAATAGTTACTAACTGCTGGACCTCTTGAGTCCTGATGATAGTAGCCACCTGAACTCTGGCGGCCACTACCGGTACTGAAATTCCAGTGACCGGCCGACCAGTGAGAGTATTTGGTTTTTTAAAGATAATTAAAAAAAAATAAAAGGGCAACATAGTCATTTCAGCAAATTTGTAAATTCCAATTTGATCACTTATACTTAAGTTGGGATTTTGTTTATTCAAGTGATTATTTTGAGATTTTTAAGTTTAAGTATCATTTTTGTTTCATATTTCCATCTATTTATTATAAATAATTAATTTAATTAATTTTTTTAATATTCATAAATTAGTTAGTTAGTTCTTACATTAAGAATGCAAGCTCTAGTTCTTAATATAAGATTCAGCAGTTGACTATTCTGAGAAAACTAAGTAAGTTAAAAAATTATTTAATTATAGCATATGTTACATGATCTTTATAAAATAATCATTATATTACTAGATTATATATCAATTTATAAGTTGGGTAAATTAATTTTAAAAAATTGATAAATATAATATTTTAAAATAATTTAGGGAGAATGACAGAAAAAGAAGCTGGGAATTACAAATCACAAATCAGATTTAGAAATATAACTTTATTTAGTATTGACAAGTCTAAATTTATAAAGGACAACAAATTTTTATTGACATTCTTTATTTGGTATTTATAAAATTTCAGCCTCTTTTTTTTGTCATCCTCCCAATAATTTATTTCACTTTCTTAACTTTTTCTTTTAATATATCATTTTGTCTGGTGCAAAAAAAAAAAAAACTCTCATCGCCTCCGAAAGAGTGGTGAACTGGTGATTGACCTGAATCAATCAGCGGAGATAACTAGAATCTGCCGAAGCGTAAAACTCAAACGTTTAAACCCTCGTTCATTGTCAAAAGGTGGTGAACTGGTGATTGACCTGAATCAATCAGCGAACTTTGCATTTGAGAGATGAATCCGTTAACCCTAGTGAAGCGCATTCAGAATATCAATTCCAAAGAAGCTTCTTTGGGCATCAGCGAGGAGGCTTCCTGGCACGCCAAATACAAAGATTCCGCTTATGTATTCGTGGGTGGGATTCCCTTCGATCTCACCGAGGGTGATCTCCTCGCAGTTTTTGCTCAGTAAGTCTCATCCTTTCGATTCGGTTATCGTACATTTGAAAATTATGTTACTATCCTCTCCCTTTTAAAGTTTCTTTTAAAGTTTCTTCCTTTTGTGTTTGTCATCCGATTTATTAGCTATTACCTGTGGTAGAGTGGGCGAGTTTTTCAGTAGCAATATGCCGTGGGAGTGCCGTAGGATTACTATAAGCAAGAAAAATTGCTGCTTTGGTTAGCATTATATGCTAGGTGCAAGACCTAACCCCTTTCCCCTAGGCATAAGAACGTGCCTCTTGCTCTGCTGCAAAGAACAAATATGTACTTCTTATGCAGTATCTTAGCTCCTTAAGCATGTGTATGATGAGAATTTTCAGAAATACAGAGGCCACTTATTTGAATACTTACAGGAACTTATAAACATAGAATTACTGTACATTATTGCATACTGATGCATGTAGATGTGACAAAGATGTGACAAGTGTTGTATGAAATCTGTATCGTATCGGTTCCTTTTGGCTAATTTTGTTCTTTATGAAATCTGATTTTGATTTTTCTCTAATATCTGCTAATGACTTGTGTAAATCCAGATACGGGGAGGTTGTTGATGTAAATCTTGTTAGGGACAAAGGTACTGGGAAGTCAAAAGGTTTTGCATTTCTTGCATATGAAGATCAAAGAAGCACAAATCTTGCCGTAGGTTGGGCTCTCTTTCTTGTCATAATATATTTTTCAGTGATGGGTTTTTGGCCCTTTTTTTCCTGCAGAATGATAACCTAAATGACTTGCTAATGCTTTTTCTTCAGATAATTTGAATGGAGCACAGATTCTGGGTAGAATAATTAGGGTTGATCATGTTACAAAATATAAAAAGAAAGAAGAGGAAGATGAAGAGACAGAGAGGAAGAAAAGGGAGGAACGAGGTGTCTGTCGAGCTTTCCAAAGAGGTGAATGTACACGTGGAGCTAGCTGCAAATTTTCTCATGATGAGCAAGTAAGTAGATTTCCTCATGATCAAGCAAATTTTGTTGCGTTCCATCGCTATTAGCTTTTGTGATCTTATCATGACCTTTATGCTTTAGATCTAAAATTTTCTATGCCTGCAGTTTGATTTTGCAAAATAATGATAGTGTTCGTAAGCATTGTGTCCCCCCCCCCCCCGGCGCGGGGGGGTGCTTCTTCAAATGACATGCTTTTCTTCAATTCTTCATTTGGCATCACCTCAACAATTGACTTTAATGTTTTGGGCAGCTTTGTTAACTTGCTAACATATAGTTTAATGTTTTAGCCAGTAAATCAACCATCGCAAAATTTTGACGTCATTGCCTCGACAAGACATAAGAATTTAGATTTCAAGTTTTGGTTATCATTTCACTGTTAGAACAACCACATGTCTAGTTCTTTGTCTATGAGACAACTTTAAAGAGATAGAAACCAAAATGTGTCATGCCTCTTGCTTTCTCAACTTTGTTTATTTGAGCAACTGAAACTTCAAAGCTCACTGATTACTACACATGGTTAGACCGGCCTCCAGTTTCTGTAGACATCTTTCACATTAATCATCTTCTTTCACCTTGGAGCCTCATGTTATGTTTCTAAGGTTTTGATGATAAGGAGGTCAAATGCAGCTTTACATGTCTTTGGTCTATTTTGTTTGAGTGCAGTGCATGAATCTTCAAGAATGTCTTTGTATCCTTGTATATATGATTGTGTTCTTGACA